GTGCGCCACCAACGCCCGGCCTTCAAGGCTATTTGTAAAGTCAATTGCTTATCTCTGTGCAGTTGTCTGAATTACAATTTAATCATTAGTGCATCCTGCCTGGAGTTTCATTGCCCCTCTATAAAAATCTTGATTCACTTAAGAGATGAAAAATGATGCTTGGTTGCTCATGTTTATTTTTAATGGCTAGACTTCACTTGGTTTTAATATTCATGGATTATTGATTCTACAGAATAAACTTTACACACAAGCTGGCAAAGTCTTTGAACTAAGGATGGGAAGCTGTAGGAAAAGTGATCAGACCTTTACGTCCCTTCAGTCATTCAGCAGTTCTCCATCTCTGACTCTAAACCAAACACCATAAGATGAAAGACTTCAAAGAGTGGTAGATGAGAAAGACAGACACATAAACACACAATTATAGGACAGAAGCCCAGTGCTAAGACCAGAGCAGACAGGAGATTTTGTCAAACACAGAGGGGAGCGGCTAAGCTAGCCTTAGGGGGATCCTGGAAGACTTTTTTGAAGATGTTGGAGCCTGAGCTCCAACTTGAACTGAAGCAAAATTTAGCCAGCTTCTCCCAGCCATCCCTGGCTAGAATTTATGTGTGGACTTTGACCAGAGGAACTGTAGTTTGGGTCTCCTTGGCCTCCACGTGTATCACTGGGCTAAGTGTCTTGGTGAAGAGAAACACTACTTGAATTACTTTTAAAACCTAACTACACAGCCATCTCCTTCCATTTCTTCCTCTTGACAATCTTTATGTGCATTTCCCTTTTGATTGTGTGATTGAAGCTCCCTGGAAAAGCCACCCCTTTGTTAAAGACTCTGCAGACTGATAGATTGGAATTTCTGTGATTGTTAGCTGGAATGTTGCAGATCAAAAGCCAAAGGTACCTTGGGCTGTCCTTAGCCCCCTTGATGCGGGTTTACCCACTCACCTCTGTATCTTATCTAATGTTCTTTTAACTACCAGGTAAAACCTTTGGAATCTGTTAGTTTAGCTGACGGTGGGCTTTCACCATCAAAAAGCTAAGACTGTCCCCAGGAAGCATGAGACCTGTGGCAGAGATGTCCCGCTTTGCTGTGGCCTGCCTACCTGACGTCCCCACTAATGGATTTAGGAGATGCATTGATTTATGGCTGTCTTTCGTTCTCTGATGATATAAATCATATTGTGACTTGGATGATGGACATTAATTAGGGACAACCTGAATCCAGGTTCCCAGGCTATGGGCACTCATTTAGCTCAGAATAAATTCCTTTTCACTCCCTTCGGAATGAGAACTGTGTTTCATGACAATTGTAAAAAAAATTATACTGCTTGCCATGCTTTTGATTTTTAGAATTGAGTTTATTCATTTTCTATGTACTTAGCCTGTATTTTTGTTTGTACACCACATGTGTGCTTGACGTCCTTGGAGGTCAAAAAGAGGTACTGTCAATCCCACTGATCGAGCATAAGACCACTACTACAGTTTAAAGCCAAAATTGAAACAAGCTTTAATTAAATACTGGCCAGGTGGATGGGCTCTGGGTTTCCAGAAAATGGCCCCGAGTCACCGTGTGCAGTAGTTTAAGTATTTCCCATCAGGTCCAGTCGGGGGCCAGCGTACATCCTGACGTATTTCCCGCCCACACGTGATCAAGCACATCTGGTGCAGATGGGTCAAACAAACTTGTTTAGGGGAAAACATGAGGTTTGCTATCTCCCATAAACAATAGCCTTCAGCATTTCAGGAACTATCTGTCCCTGGGCAAGGGGCTTGCAGATCAGAGGCATTTTTGTTTCATGGATCTCTAAGGTGTAATAATTAAAACTTAAAATGTAACTTTGGCTCTCACAGTATCTGATGGAGTTACAGGTGGTTGCGAACCACTGTGCTGGTAATGGGAATCGAACCTGGGTCCTCTGCAAGAGCAAGTGCTGGTAACTGCTGAGACTGCTCCAGTCCCACCACACTACCAGAAAGATTAAAAGGAAGAACAGAGTCCAAGTGTTGTTTGCACACGGAGTGATAAGGATGTTCATATACAGCTGGAGGTTAGACAGTTTGGAAAAGTGTCGGCAGAACCTAACGAAACTGGTCTTACATACTGTTTGACTCAACAATTCCCTCCTGGGTACACACTCAACATAAACGTGAGCTATGTTCACCAGCAGGCATTTTCACAAGGAGTGGCGCAAATCAAGCCCAAGAGTGGTTACAGCCATACCTGCTCCTAACCACAAAATACACAGTGCTTATCAACAGCTTACTGATATGATAAGCTTGCTGGTATGATTATAAATAGGAAGGATGTTGATAAGGTTGACAGACCCGGGTCCTAACACATCTGGATTGTGCTTTTCTCTGTATGTCTTAACACTACACTTCATGGTTTGCTTTGGTTTGTTTTCTGAGATTTTGCAACTGTAGCCCAGGCTGACCTCAAACTGAAAATCCTCCCGAATGCTAAAAATGATACATTGTAACACAAAGCAGGAAAAGGCTGGTTTTTTTAAAGTTTTAAAATCACCCACCATGCAGAAACAACTGCTCTCAATACTTTCGAGTTATTTCCTTCCCTTCTGAAGCAGGCTCACTTGGTCTACCCTAGCCTTACCCCAGATTTTCTTTACCCATAGAAAAGAATCTACTGGGTCAAGGGCATTATTTAAGATCTGTGTTCCTTCTTCATTTCCCTCTAGAAATGGCGCACCAATTCACAAACTGAGCAGCGGCATGGTGTGAGGGCTCCGTGTGGCTTATCCCTCGTGATCATTTTAACGCGTCACGGCTTAAAAGGGGACTCAGGATCCTGGCATTCCCGGCATCACTAACTAGGCAGCCCCGTTGCCCCTGCTCCTCTCCGAAGGGAAGCCTCTGCAGGGTCCCGGAGCGCGCTGGGCAGCCCCAGCTCCACATCCCGGGCGGCGGCCCAGCCCCGTTGCCCGGGGAACCGCAGCACGCCGCTGCGCTCGCCGATCAGCCGGTGTGTGAGTGGCGAGGCCGGGCAGCCCAGGCATGGAGCTGCCGGACCCCGTTCGTCAGCGCCTGGGCAACTTCAGCCTCACGGTGTTCGGCGACTCCAGCCGCACCGGGCCCGAGTCCAGCGAGGCCGCGGGTGAGTGGCGAGGGCGCAGGCCCACGCGGGGGTGTGGCTCGCGGGCGGCCGCACGGGCCGTGCCCGGGTGAAAAATGGCGGCTCCGGCTTCCGCCGCGGCACTTTTCCCTGCACCGGAGGCTGCTGCGGCCCTGCGGGCGCCCGCGGACCTCAGTCGCGGCAGCTGCTGCACCCGGTGTCCCTGTCGCCGAGGGGATTGGGACAGAGAGCAGGAACGCCTTCTTCCCCGGCACGGCCCGCCGGCCTTCCGGGCCGGGTGAGGGGAGAGCAGCCGCGCCCTCCACTCGCACCCGCGGGAAAGCCGGGCTGGGTGCAGACCCTCCCGGCCCGGAGGCCCGTTCCTCGCCAGCCAGCCTTCCAGCGGGGCACAGGGGAGGAAAGGGGGTGTCTTTCCATTGAACGAACCATTTTAAACCACTGTCCACGCGGCCGCCGGACCCGCGCGGCCTCCCTCTGCCTGCTCCTCCTTCCCCTCCATCGAACAGAAATACTACCGAGCTGACTTCGGTCTCGGCCTCCCGAACCATGACCGCCCCAGACGCGGTTGTCACCAGTGAACTCGGGGAGTAGAAATCCTTTCTCCTGCTTGGCCGTGGGAAAGTTGAAAAGCAAAGCCCCTTCCCACCCTTGCTATTTGTCACCCTGGTCATTCGCCCGATTTAGGCTGTGTGGAGAAAAACCTGAAAAGTTAGCTTGTCCTGTTTCTGATTCCAAGAGTGAGCCTGTCCGTGCACGTGAATCTGATAATTCAAGGTCTCCGGGAACAGGGCAGTTACTGAAAATTCAGGGTGGTGTTTGTTCTGCCGTCCTGGAGGCTGCAGAGCCTCGGCGGCCTTGGCGGTTCTATGGATGCCAACTGAACCACCTGCGGGCACCGGAACTGGAAATTCATATGGTTTTCATGTGTCACAGAAGTATTTTTTCCCAACCACTCAAACGTGAGAAAAGCTGTTGAAGTTCACTGTCAGTAACTTGGTCAGTAAAAGCCGCCTGTCCAATTATATAATGCTTTAATTTTATTTCAATGCAGAACTCAACTTGAACTTTTGTAAAATTTAATGAATTCACATTTTGCACCTCATTTATATTTTGGCCTGATTTTTCAGTTGCGTAAGTTGAATTGTTGAAGTGTGGACATGACACTACATAAAATAAAGCCCAGGCATGCTAAGAAGTCACTCTACCCAAGCTGTATCCCCCTAGCTTTTAAAACAACAACGTTGAATTCGAGGCCAGCCTGGGCTACAGAGTGAGATCCAGGAAAGGCGCAAAGCTACACAGTGAAACCCTGTCTCGAAAAACAACAACAACAAAAAAAAACAAAACGTATTTTGTTACAGTGTAGTCAAGAAGTGCCTGGGCGGTCCTGAAACTGGCTACGCAGTCCAGACTGTCTTTGAATTTGAAATACCTCGGTCTCTGAAAATGTGGACTACTTTCCGCTCTAAAGGTTCTGAAACTGTCAGCTTAACCAATGTATAATCATTTTCCTGCCTTCTTGGTGAGTCTGACGTTAGACAGACTGTAACAAGTTTTTATCCTCTAACCTCACCTCCACCTCACCTCACCTCACAACACCTCACCTCCACCTCACCTCCACCTCACCTCACCTCACCTCCACCTCCACAACACCTCACATCCACCTCACCTCACATCCACAATCTTTAGAATTAACAGATTTTAAAAATTCATTCTTATATTAGGAATGATTTAAAAATTAAGGCAATCCAAAACAGACCACAATAGTCAGGCATGCTCTTAAAACTTAAAGGAAACTTGTTATGGAATAGAATATTTAACTATGTAAAGATGTGCTGCATTTGTTTAACCTTGCCTGCCTAAGGCACCTGATTGGTCTAATAAAAAGCCAAATGGCCAATAGCTAGGCAGTAAAGGGATAGGTGGGGCTGGTAGATAGAATAAGTAGGAGGAGAATCTAGGCTCAAGAGAAGAGAAGGAGGAGAGAACGAGGGAGAAAGAAAGGGAGACACCAGGGACCGGCCACCCAGGCAGCCGCCAGCCAGGCAGACATGGAGGAAGCAGGAAAGTAGGACATACAGAATGCAAGAAAGGTAAAAAGCCCCAGGGCAAAACACAGATGAAGAGAAACAGGTTAAAATAATTTACAAGAGCTAGTGGGACAAGCCTAAACTAAGGCCGAGCACTCATAACTAATAATCAGTCTCCATGTCATGATTTGGGGGCTGGTGGTCCAAGACAGCCTGCTGCAGAAACTTCTAGAGGTCATGCGTGTCTCAAAAGCATTAGATGTCAATAAAAAACAAAAAAACAAGACTATGCAGATAAAAAGAAAAAAGTGTTACAAAGTAATTTATGTTAGTGTCTTTCTAAATTATTTCATTTAGAAAAGCCAATTTAAAAAAAGAATGTAGTTAAATTTATAATGTATTTTTAGGGCTCAATTTTTAAAATTAAATTCTTGTTGAGGGACCTTTTCCCTTATACAAAAGCAAAAGATATTGGGTAATCAGTCTGACAAATGGAACTTGTGTGGCACAAATGGGTATATGTATGACAGGGTGCATTTGAAAATTTGTTCTTTCTGCTTATGCAGGCTTGGTATTCACAGTGTATAAAGCAAGATTCTAAATAGGAAATGTAAGTATAAATCTGTGCTTACACTGAGACTGTGTGATTACAAGTAAGAAAGGAAGTGGCACTGTTTGTGAGTACCCATTAAGTGTGGCAGGCACACTAGTAAGAGTGAAATAACTTCACAAGCAGCCTTTGTGTGGTCTTCTGTTATCATTCCAGGGATGATTAAAGGAATGCTCGGAAAGATGTGATAATGCATCTTCATCGGGGCTTCTATTGTTGTGAAGAGACACCATGACCACAGCAACTCTTAAAAGGAAACCATTTAACTGGGGCTCAGTTCAGAGGTTTAGTCCATTATCATCGGGTCAGAAAGCATGGCGGCACACAGGTGCTGTAGAGGTAGCTGGTGTTCTACATCTGGATCTGCAGGCAGCAGGAAGAGAGAGTGACACTGGGCCCAGCCTGCGCATTTGGAACCACAAAGCCCAACCCCAGTGACGCACTTCCTCCAACAATGACCTATGGAGGCCATTTTCATTGTGATCACCACAGCTTCTAAAGCCCGTGGTCTCTTCAGTACTCCATGCTGCATCTTAGATGAGAAGAATAGGATTCTTTGCCAGCACTTTTTATTTTTTATTTTGTGTGTATGAATGTGTACCGCATGCATGTCTGGTGCCCACCCAGGCCAGAAGAGAGCAGCAGATCCCCTGGAATTGGAGTTACAGATGGTTATGAGCCACTGTGTAGGTGCTGGGAACTGAACCCTGTCTTCTGCAAGGACAGCAAGTGCTCTTGACTACTGAACCATCTCTCCAGCCCTAACGGCACTTCTTATACACAGTTTAGAGTGATAAATACCTGTCGGTAAAGACTTCTACTGCAGCATGTAATCAAGGAAGGATTTGTAGGGACATGGCACTAGATTAGCATTAAGGAATGTGCAGGATTAGGATTTGCTGAAAGGGGGATGTCATTATAATTTGAGATCAATTATTATAAAAGAGCTAACCTATAAGAGATTCATTTTTATTCATTCATTTTATAGCTCTTTATAGAGACCCTACAAAGGCAGCAATAGAATTTCATATTCACATTGCTCTTTTGGATTTTAGTTTTTTTCTGAGACAAGGTCAGACGTGTAGCTCTGACTGCCTCAAACTTGCTCTTCCCTGTCTCTGAGCGCTAGGGTGACAGGAATACCACGCCAGCTGATAGTCCTTTGCTTTTTATTTTTCCCTTTCTTACTGTGTAGCCCAGGCTGGCCTCAAACTCAAGTGATCCCCTGTCCCCTAAGTGCCGTGATTAAAGGCTTGTGCCACCATGTACAGCTTGATAGTCCATATTTAATCCAAACCCCAGTCTGCAAACTGACAGCAGACTGTAGGAACAAATCCTTGAAGGACATGAAACACACCCCAAGCAACTAGTGTCTGAAGTAAACGGTATGCTGATGAACATACTGTTGGTGATTATAAATAGACCTAGAATGTGGAATTTTACTGAACCAGTGTCAATGCTCAGGGATATGAGGGCTTCTGGGGCATCGGCCAGGACTTAAACCGTGTCCCTTCTGCCTCCTGCACAGATAATGAGATGGTCTCCAGCTTGCCGTTACAGATGTCCCTGTACTTCAACTGGTACTTTTTCCCGCTCTGGTGGGTGAGCTGCATTGTGATGCTTCACCTGAAGGTGAGTCCACCTCACTGCTGGGCCCTGACGCCCTCCCAGCCCTTTCTACCCCACCTCCACGTTACCCAAGAAAGACTTTGCAAGCATGTCCTGCCTTTTCTTCGTTTCAGTACTCGGTCTTGCCCGATTACTACAAATTCATTGTGATCACTGTCATCGTCCTCATAACCTTGATGGAAGCGATCCGGCTGTACCTGGGCTGCATGGGGAACCTGCAGGAGAAGGTGGGTCCTCCCCTCCCTTAGGGCTGTGCTGGAGATAGCTAAGGACAACTAACGCAATGGCAGGGGTGCAAGTGGAGCCAGCCGGGGGCTAAGGATCAGCTCCAACCTGAAGACTCCTGCCACTGTTGATCTCCTGAACTAGATGATCTCATGGACTAGAGGAGGAAAATAATCCTGACGAGTTCACTGAGAAGAAGTGTGGTGACTCCTATGAAGTATCTGAACACAAAAACTCTGAGCAGTTGGCAGCGTTTCTCACTTCTTCTCAGTCTTGAAAATATTCGGTCAGTAGTAGAGAAGGAGAGTCAGCAAGACTGGGAGAGAGCCGAGGCGGGTAATGGGGGTGAATATGATCAAAGTACATTCTGTACGTGTATGTAGGGGTTAAAAATGGTAAATTAAATGTCTGTTTGGAACCTTAAGAAAAATTATAAATTCATGTTTAATGCCAGGCCCATGTTTTCTGAATCATCACCCTGCCTAAGTATTTACAGTTACTAAAGTCTTTAGAAAATCCTGTGGTTTGCTAAGCCCTTCATTATAGGCCCCACCCAGCGTGTCTTATTGTTTTCTTGCCGTTTCTTAAGCCAGCCAGCCATACCAGGCTGACGTGTTGATCCCTAGTCAGGCTGGAGCTTCACGGGTGGGATGCTCTCCTCTGCACACCCTCGGAGTCTCCCTTTCCAGCCCGTGGTCTCTGCACCTTTAAATGTTTCACTTCACTGTTGACCAAGTGGGAGCTGTGTCACGTGAAGATGATGTTCTCAACTCAGGACAAGGACTATGCGCACTCCTGAATCACTCATGGGGCCCATACTGTAGGTTCTTTGTAGTGCTGAGCACCTGTCTGTATGTGTAACTAAAATAGAACTGTATCTTACTGGTCTTAGAACTCTTGATATCTTGTATCACTGCAGGTTCCTGAGTTGGCTGGCTTCTGGCTTTTGAGCCTCCTGCTACAGTTGCCGTTAATCCTTTTCTTGCTCCTTAATGAAGGCCTGAGGAACCTGCCCTTGGAAAGAGCAGTACATATCATCTTCACCGTCTTCCTTACTTTCCAAGTCATCTCTGCGTTTCTGACCCTGAAGAAAATGGTCAATCAGCTGGCGGCCCGTTTCCACCTCCAGGACTTTGATCGGCTGTCTGCAAACAGCGCAGTAGTGAGGAGGAGGAGGCCGTGTACAGAAGAGCTCTGACCCAGCGCTGAAGAGGTGACGTCTGCAGATAAGGCAGGAAGACTGAGAGAGTGACAGGACACCTGAGACCAGGCTGAGAAAGGGCACAGGTGTCCTGGGTTGTGTCCTCCAGCTCAGGCTGAGAAAGGGCACGAGTGATCTGGGTTGTGTCCTCCTGCTCTGAGATTCCATGGAGGCAATACGAAGACGCACTATGGTACATGAAAGCAGTGTGTTAACCTTGGAGCTGAGGGGAGTCCAGCAGACACTAAATTTCTTGTTTCTGATGTTGACTTTTCAGGGGTTTATTTGTAAGTGTATTGGTAGTTGTAATCTACTGCCCTTTCCTTAATGTTTCTAGCTGTCATCTGTAGCTGGAAATGAATGGAATCTCAGGAAAGTCCGGTTTTGGCCGGTGGACTCTCGCTGCATTTGTCAGCACACTCCAGGACATGGCCACACCGGGAGCAGCTGGCCCACACAAGACAAACTCTGGTGTTTCTGTGGACTTTTTGTTTCGTTTGCTTTTGTTTTGACATTTTTTTTTCTTATTGTTAGGGGCCAGCAAGTGGGAGAGGAATTGGGAAAGAGGGGAAAAACATGCAAAATGTATGGTACCAAGAAAAAAATTAATAAAAACGAAATGTGTGACATCCCCTTTAAATGTTCAGTTACCTAACTGGCTCTTCTGGGTTTCTTGGAGCACATGGAATGCTTGCTCACCAGCATGCTCCTGCAATAGATGGTATTTTAACCGGGACAAACTTTTGGGTGTGCCAGTGGTCAATTCCGAATCTCTTCTCAGTTGCCGTCCTGAGGGGACAGAGTGCTGTGGTGTTTTATAGAGTTTATCCCAAGGTGAAGGAGGTGACATGTTATGGTATTTAAGGAATATTTTGTCATAAAACCATGTTCAGTATTTGTGATGGAGGCACAGACTGTTTTTTTTACCATAAATCATAAGCTATTTATATTAAAATATCGGTAATGCATACTTGTCTTGTGCAGTTCTTTTGAACTAAGAAGTTTGTGGGAACTTTTTAAATCTCTTTTTGTTGTTACTGTTGTTGGGGTTTTTCAAGACAGGGTTTCTCTGTGTAGCCCTGGCTGTCCTGGAACTTGCTCTGTAGACCAGGCTGGCCTCAAACTCAGAGATCCACCTGCCTCTGCCTCCCAGGTGCTGACAGCAGAGCCCATGAGTTTGTTGTAACTGGAGTTGTAACATGAGAGGCCTAGTATACAGCAGACAGTGGTGGGAACATTGACTTTGTGATCATTCATACCTTTGTCATTCATATTCTCTGAAGAATGGCTACATGCTATTAGATTCATATCTGAAGCCTGGTTTGGAAACCGTGGTTTCCCGTTTTTATACAGTGAGAGCTAAGATTGTGAGTTAGGACAGCCACATGGACTGCACTCATGATCCTATCGTGAGCATGTCCCTTGTGAGTAAAAGGAACCTACTTAAGGAAATTTGGTTAAAGACACAGTTTCCGGGGTATATCCAGTTGTGGGATGTCTTTCTGTATGCTATGAATATATGCTGTTCCCATTGGTTAGTAAAAGAAGCTGCATTGGCCTATGGCAGGCAGGATGGAGCCAGGCAGGAAATCTAAGAGAGATAATGAGAGGAAAAAGGAGAATGGAGGAGATGCCGAACTGCCATCCAAGGAGGAACATGTAATAGATCGCAGGTAAAGCCACAGAACACGTGGCAATACATAGATAAGTAGAAATGGGTTGATTTAAGATGAAAGAGCTAGCTAGCAAGAAGCCTGCCATAGGCCATACGGTTAGTGATTAATATAAGCCTCCGAGTGATTATTTTATAAGCGGCTGCAGGACTGTGAGGCCAGGCGGTACTGGAGGAACACAGGACCGTGGAGCCAGGTGGGACCAGAGAAACATCCAACTTCATATCCACACATTATTTTTAAGTGTTTATTTAGATTATCTTAAGGGACAGAGTATTTTTTTCCCCTCAGGCTTTCTTCTTTCCTATAAAGAAATATATTTTCATAGGTAATATATTTTACACACTACATTAAAAACTGTTCTTTTCCTTTTTTTTTTTTTTTTTTTATCCTTGGCTGGAGCTTCCTATGTAGACCAGGCTGGCCTCATAGAGAGCCACCTACCTATGCCTCCTAAAATCTGGGATTAAAGGGGTGCACCACCACATTGGCCTCCAGTTTTCTGTTACTTCAATTCATGCTCATAGAATTTCCTTGATTTTCCTTATTAATTCTTACATTGCTTACTTTTAAAAAAATGTCTGAACTTGCCATTCCCGATTTTGCCTGACACACTTCCTCAAGTATGAGAGTTTATGGACAAGATGGGTTCTCAGTCCTCGGGGGTCTCATCTGGGAGGTAAAACATTTGCAAAACAACCCACACAGTCGGAGGTGTAACTTTATCAGGGAGGTGTGCTGAACCTTCGGTACCTCACCGATGTCCTGGGCGTGCAGTGATCTCCACTCTGGTCCAAGCACTTAGCACCTTCATCAGCCTCCTGAAACATTCACCCTGCTTCACACCATAGGGAGGGATTAATGGTGACATCAGAGGCTCTACACTCTCCCCTTTCCTGTACAAACAGGAAGCACAGTAGCTGCTGTGAAGAACTAACAAGCCAATCAGGGCTCTTACAATGTAGGGTGGGCATCATGGTTTACAGCGGAGCAGTATCTCAAGGGACAGGCATTTGGAAAGTGCTGCAGAATGAGATGATACTTCACATTTGAATAGAGGGAATACTACATTCAGCAGTAAGAAATAGGTTAATAGGGCTGCCTTGGCAGTTAAGAGCACTGGCTGCTCTTCCAGAGGACCAGGTTCAATTCCCAACACTCATGTGGCAGCTCACACCCATCTGTAGCTCCAGTTCCAGGGCTTCTGACATCCTCACACAGACATACATGCTGGTGGAACACCAATGTGCATGAAAGAGATATCTCGATAGAGGGAGCCATTATGGGGTGGTTTAGGGAGAAACCTGATGCTAGGAAAGTTCCCAGGAATCCACAAGAATGACCCCAGCTTAGACTCCTAGCAATAGTGGAGAGGGTGCCTGAACTGGCCTTCCCCTGTAATCAGATTGGTGACTACCCTAACTGTCATCAGAGAGCCTTCATCCAGTAACTGATGGAAGCAGATGCAGAGATCCACACCAAACACCAGGCCAAGCCCTGGAAGTCCAGTTGAAGAGAGGGAAGAGGGATTCCATGAGCAAGTGGGGTCAAGATCATGATGGGGAAATTTACTGATACAACTGAACCAAGCTCGTGGAGACTCATGAACTCTAGACCGACAGCTGTGGAGCCTGCATGGGACCAGACTAGGCCCTCTGCATAATCGAGACAGTTGTGTAGTTTGGTCTGTTTGAGGGGCCCCTGGCAGTGGTGTCAGGATTTATCCCTGGTGTGTTAGCTGGCTTTTTGGAGCCCATTCCCTGTGGTCAGATGCCTTACTCAGCCTTGATGCAGCAGGGAGGGACTTGGTCCTGCCTCAACTGAATGTACCAGGCCTTGTTGAGTCCACATGGGAGGCCTTACCCTTTTGGAGGAGGGGATTGGGAGGGGTGTGAATTGAGGGGAGAAAATGGAGGGGGAGGTAGTAGGAGAAGGGATGGGAGGGGGAACTGTGGTTGGTATGTAAAATGATTAAAAATATTTTTAAAAAGCCAATGCACATAAAATAAAAATAATTATCTATAAAAAAGAAATAGGTGAATAATGACATTGTTGCATGACTTCAAGGCATTGAAATAGGCATTTAGAAGTTGCTTCTCCTAAAAAACATTGACTCCTTTACTTGGGTCACAAGGCTAACAGCACAGAGATGTCATTGTCCTCAAGCTGTAGTCACCTTGAATTCCAGAAAGAACAAAACTCCACAGGACAGGCTCAGCTCTCCTTCAATGAGGGCAGTTTACACACTGGGTGAGGCTGCTGAGCCAGGCCTGTTAACTGCTGGGGTCCAGGCTTTTGTGCTAAAAACTCTCATAACCAACTTTAGCAAACCAACCAGGTAAAAAGAGGCCTTTGAGCAGTGGCCTCTAATAGCAAGTTGGAGAATGGAGGAGAAGGATAGGATGGATGGTCCACATAGGGGAGGATGAGATGGATGGTCCACAT